AAATTGTAATTAAAAAAAAAAAAACACGATTAATTGTCATGTAAGACAGTAAAAGAAATTAAACGAACAAAAAAAAGAGTAAAGTGTTTTCGCTTGCCTGTTATACACAGCAAAATTCCTCCTAATGACATCCAACCTTCTCGTTCGGTTTTCTTGAGAAATCTATAGATGTAATATGGTGATAGAGCTTTATACACGTGAGGGTTCCAATGTAGAATATTATAAACGCCAATCGAAGAAATGCAAACGAGCCACATTATGACAACTGGCGCGAACAAGAACCCGACCCTGTGGGTCCCGTAATGCTGAAGGGCAAATAAGGCAATCAGTATCAAGCAAGCCACTGGCACTTCTATATCTGCAGTGATCATAATAAATAAGCAAATATACATAAATAAGCAAATAACCGAGTATTTCATAGATATATTGTAAGATGTGTTCTCAATGATTTGTGTTCAATTTCGAAGCTTTTGGCAGATGTGTAACAAACTAACAATAACCCCATGAAGAATGAAATATTAATAATCCTAATAAATTGCATTATAATAGTATCTTCATTGCATCAAAAAAAAAAAAAAAAATGATTTATGAAAATTTCGAAAAGCACTTTCCTCATATTGTGATGGCTGTTAGTTTGTTATAGTTAAGATAATCATGCAGTTCACATTTTATTCTAACAAAACATATGCACTTGGGGACATCTTAAAATAACATAATATATAATAACTAAGCTTAATTTTCAGGATGTAGAACTAATGCAATCTTCACTCAATCTTAAAACAACACTTCTAATAATTTCTTCAATCCCTAACATCAAAAAATAATGAACAGCCAAAAAAAATAATCTTACACTTATGATGTTCTTTCTCTGCAGCTAATTCCACACCAGAAACAGCAGAAAAAACTGCCAAGAAAAACCCCAGAAAGGGAAAGAGGAAAAAAAGATTATGCTCACAAAGATTAAACCAACTAACAGAAATCAAACAAAATTATCCGAATTTCGACGAACAACAACACAAAAAGCAACCTTTTTCGCAAATACCTGAAATTGCAGGGGTCAATATACCATCCCCAATCACCATACAAGCCCCAAGCAGAGCTAACAAAAGCAATAACCTTTGCAAAACACTGTATTTCTCCAAAATAGATTTCAATCTTGCCCCGAAAATCGAGGGCTCGGGGCTCGTGACATCCTTTTTGTAATTCGACAAATCCTCATCAGCCGATTGGCTGCTGGGCAACAAATTCACTTTGGCATGTCTACATAAGAGTGAATACAGAGCAAATGTGCCTCCTTCACCATTATCATCAGCTCTCAACACAATAAACACATATTTCAAAAGGGGCAGCAAAGTTAATGTCCAGAACACAAGTGATAAGACCCCATAGATTTCTTCATTGGTCTCAGAGTGAACAATGTCCTCAGAAAATGTAACTTGATATACATACAATGGTGAGGTACTCAAATCCCCATACACAACTCCTAAGCTCTGGTAGGCTAATGTAAGTATTGTTCTCCAAGATTCTTTCTGTAAAAATAAAAACCCCCCAAATAAATACTTTAGAAGACAAAAAAGGGAAAAGGGGGAAAAAGGTAGCATTTTTACATAAAACTAAAGGAAATATGATGTAAAGAACTCACCTTTATTTGATTTCGGAAAGTCCCACCTTCGAGATCCATCGAAAAAGCACTCAAAAATTCAAGAAAACCATTTCTAGAGCAAATTTAAGAATTTTAATCCAAACCCATTTGCCAGCCGCTGTTATATATCTAAAATATCCAGAAAATGGGATAATTTTTTCGGCAGTACGACTTAAAAAAAATCAAAATTAAAAAAGAACAAACACAAACTAGAAACAATAACACTCCACGAGTGAAGATTCTGACTAATAAAAACTGGCACTTTGTATCCGAACTTAAAGACTGGATTTTTATTTTTTATTTTTTATTTTTGGGCTTGTGACGAAATGAAAAGGATTGTTTCCAATTTTCTATAATGTCTTGAACGGAAGTTGGACACGGTTTTGAGTGAATTAATAATAAATAGGTGGTTTTTCACGTTTTCTTGGAGGTTAACATCAACAAGACAAATCAAATGCTCTGCGCATGAGAGAGATTGAGAGAGAGAGAGAGAGAGACGTGCAAACGTGTACTGTGAAAATCAAACAGATAATGAGGGCATTTTAGATGTAGATCTTTGGGTGTGGATTTTAAATAAATAAAGTAAAAAACTCAGAGGAGTTAGAAAACTCGAGAACTGTATTTTTTTTGTATGGTTTGACTTGATGAAAAACTGAAAGTGAAGCTAAAAATGTTGTGTGTAGGGTGCAAAAGAGGAATTTAATTTCATAATTGTTGGCATCAAGATTTTGCGAACAAGATTATGGGAGTGCTTTGACTATTTCAATGCTAATTATATTTGTGGATGTGTGTATAACCGTTCATATTCTAAATTCTATCTAAATTTGAGTGACAGAAAAATAAATTTCATGAACACACAATGGTTTTGATGTAAAATATATGAAATTGTGTTCTTTAAATATTTACAAGAGCTTTTTGGTTCTGTAAATAGAAATAGAGGTCACTTAACCAATTTTGATTCAATTAGTTGATAGCGGATAGTTGATTCAATTAACTATATTGATTCAATTAGTTGATAGCGGATAGTTGATTCAATTAACTAACAACATATAGTTAATTTAGATAGCATATTCAACTGGGTAATTAAATTAGCAAAATAATTAGATTTTTTATATGTTAAAGTAAATAAAATTACAAATCTTATATTCCAAAAAATTATTTATAAGAGCTTTTCTAAAATTAATGTCTTGGGTGCAAAAAGCTATTTCGAATAGCTACTTACCAGTTATCAAGCAACTAGTACGTGGTCCGTGCGATGCATGGAAAAACAATATTTTGATTGTATTATAAATTAAATAAATAAATAACATTAATCATGATTTATTCATTATTTTTAAATTAAACCGGGTTGGACACAGTCCGACCGGATGGACCGAGAACAGGTTTATAACCAGTATATTGCGCTTGAATAAAATATATGCTATCGAATCCGTCAACATCAGTATGTTGGACTGGTAGGATCGATACGATTTTCTAAATAAATTTTGTTACATTAAAAATTATTTTAAATAAAATTACATATTTAAATAAAATAGAGATTTATAAATTGTTTATCAATTAGTTTAAACATTTGAATTTATAAATTGTTTAGATATTTAAGTAACACTTTTTATTTAAATTTATTACAAAAAGTACTATATATATATATATATATATATATAAAAAAGTATTATGTATTAAAATCTGAACAACCACAAATGATTTAATAAAATAACTTGATCGTTTCGATGACGTTCCGGTTCTGAAAACCTTATATTTACCGTACATTAATAAAAATGATAATAAAATAATTATTTTGTTCACATAAATAATAATAAAATGATATATAAATATTCATAAACTATTAATCATGTTGTCGTAAAAGCATTGTTAATATGATTATTTGAAGTTTGGACTACATAATAAAGTATTTTCAATATTAAAATTTATATTTAGGTTCAATAATCGATTTGGTCTGGTCAAACTGATACATAACTTAGTTACCTGGGACCAACCAAGTTATGTCAAGTTTTTTGACTATTTTAAATATCACCTAAAAGTAATTCAATCAACGTGGGCAATACCCTAATTCAATCACCCGATTGATCCAAAAGTAATTTCATTACTTTCTTTAAATATAATATTTAATTTTATGAAATAAAAAAAATTTATGATTCATATGTCTACACCAAATGATAGTATATTAAGATTATAAATTATATATCTAAAGATGAATTATTTATTTTTATTTTATGCATATTAATAAAAAATAAACATAGTAATTTAAAAAAAAATCAAGATTAATTGATTGGTATATATATATAACATGATTGAATTTTTGGATTAGAAGATATATATTTAAAATGATTTTATTATTAAAGGTCAAAAAGAAAAGATGTCATAAAGATTACAACTTTGAAAAGTTTGTAACCATTAATTTAGGAACCATCTGATTTTAAATGATTTATAATTTTTGAAACAGGATACGTCATCTAAAACCCATTAATTTAGGAATCATCCAATTTTTTGATAATGAATTAAAATTAAAATATAAAATAAAAAAATTGCTAAAAATAGTATATAATAAATGTGGGTTGACTTTTCCTTATTACTATTTATGGTAAATGTTAATTCTTATTATATATATATATATATATAAAATTAAATTCTAATTTATTCTCAAGAAACTCCCCGTTTATATAGAATATATATATATATATAGTGGTATTGGATCACTTATCACTTATGCATAGTTAAATTTATTAAAAAAATATACATAGACAAAAGATAAATGAATGATATTCATCTTAACATTTTTTTTTTTAGGTTTTTCACATGATAATCACATTGGTGATGTTAAATATGTGACATCAAGTGTGTGACTTTGTAACTATAATCATAAGGTTGTTTAACCAATATTAAGGGCATATGTAGTGTCTGTTGTACCAAGATTTCAACTATCAACTTCTAAATTTGGAAAATTATAATTGATGCAACCCAGCTAAGGATGAACCGATCAAACATTTAAATAATCCATATTAAAAACAAGAATGGTCCAACAATTCTATTTTCATACGTTACATAAACATAGTAATTGCTACGTACGTTAAAGATTTGTCTTAAGTTTGGAGGTGTAAGGTATTTTATCTTAGTTGATAAATATTGGAACTATAATTTCAATATCATTATTCCCTCACTAACTTTTATGTGGGACAGTCTAACCGTTAGATGAGTCGACCCGTGATACTATTTGAATAAAGATGTATATTTATACTATCAAATAATCGTACTTATGTTTTTATATTTTTTTTATTGCATGCTATTTTTTAATTAAAAGATACATATTTGTAAAAGGCGGATGTGCCTATGATTAAATAAGAGCTTCTGTTGATAAATACATAAGTGGTGTTTTAATTAAAAAAGTTACATCATCCCTCATATTAATGTCTAAAAAATTAATAACTATTTTTCCATTTAGTATATCATTTAGTCCTAGAAAAAAGATGAGAAATCACTTAATAATTACAAAAGCTGTAGAGTTTTAATAAAAATGATATATATCCTTTTCACAGTTTCGAGATAAGATTTATATAGTTCTCCTTATCACCGAAATTTATAGTATTCTCATTGCAAAATTTATCACATCAACACAGGAAAACATAGCTCGCAATAAATTCTTAAGCGGTAGCACAAAATTGCATTTCTATTTCATAATTATCAAAACATTTTTCTTCCTCTCAAGAAAGTTTTGGAATGAAAACAATACAAAATAAAAGGAATTAAATCAAATTATTTTTGTAAAAAAAAGTATTATATCATGTCTAGTTGGTGTCTTTAAAAAAAGTTATGGGTTGTGTTGTTTTAATCATTGCACATTTAATTTTTTTTCTTTTTCTTTTTTTGTAAATATTCTATGTTTATTTGGTCAGATTAACAACACTAATTCAAATTTGTGTGCTTTTTAATTGATTAGCATTCTCAAAATTATGAATAGTCCAAAATAAAATACCTTGTCAACATTCAATAGTTACTTTACCTAAATTATAATATTTTTCATTAATTAAATAGCATATGAAGTAATTCAATTTAGGATATATATCACCACAACACAAAATGTTAATAATCACCAATATTAGCAATCTACCCATCAATAATTGCTTTTTGTGAGATATAGAGATGTTAATAACAAGCAACGTGAATATTTGATTTTAGTATGTTTTCAGTGGTTGGTTAGTGTTATACATCAAATCATTTATTTTGTTCTGTATATGATACATTAATTTAATATATGGACTTTTTTATATGTTAATTTGACCTACACTGTAACATTTGTGATGTGATTGATGATATGTCCTTTTATGGGTGGTAATAGGACATTTTGATCTCTTCATTTGTTTTGTTTTTTTATTCTATCATTCCTAATCCGACGTAATAACTTGAGTTGGAAATTTAAATGAATATCCTAAGTAGACCAACACTAAAATATATTGTTAATTTTTTATTATTATAGAAATTTTAACTAAATATGAGATTTTATCGGAATTTGTTCTTCCTCTAATAATTTCAAATATTAAAAAAACGGTTGTTGCAATTGTTAAAATCCAACAAATTTTTCAATAAATAAATATATTTTACGGAATATTTTTATTAAAATTTTAATATCAGAATCTTTTGTTTAATTAAATAACGAAAGGATGACATGATCAATGAAAACAGTATAACCTTGAGGTCCCATTATTATTTTTTCTTATTTGATATTTTATTCAGAGAATTTAAAAACACGCTTTTAGCAGATAGAAGATGTCATATCCTTTTCAACACATACTTTACTTTCTCTGATATTTTGTCCCAATTAATTATTCAGATAAGTAATATTCTTTACAATATTAGCCACTCAAATAAATTCGGTTCACAAACGATACATCGTGTAAACGAGCCGATTCGAACTTGAGGCCTTAACAAGCTGAGCAACTAGACGACTCAGTAATTGAACTCGATTTCAATCTCGACTCAATTATTAATATTAACGAACTCAAACTATAGAAAATTATAAAAAAAAACCCAAATGAACCAAACCATTCAGCCAAGTCCAGGTTGTTAAAGAATCGAGCTTTAGACAAGCCGAGCTTACAACCGACTCGTTTCATTTAATAGTTATATGCATTAATCACATCATACATGATTTAAATATCATTTTTAACTTTGATCTTCCTTATTTCCAAGTGCTAATCATTTAAAATTATTTTTTAAAATATATAGTATAAAAGATTTTAAAAGAATGAAAATAAAATAATCAATAACATATAAAAGACAGTAAAAATAGTGAAATTATGTGATCAAGGAGATTATTATTATTATTATTATATTAATATGGGATATATGATTTAACGAGATTTGATACAGCTTGTTGAATTTATATTTTTATTTTTTCTTTGCTACAATATTTATTTGTAAATAGGGGGAATATTATTTCATGACCAAAGTTTTGGGTTTCCACGGAAACTTCCTAAGGTCAAACTTTACCAGAATTGGACACCAATAAAAGTGGTTTGGTAAGCCATTTCGAATAATTTGATACAAGTTCACGTCACACGTTGAAATTTGACATAGTTTCCAATTTTCCATAATTCGATTATTTTGATTTGATTTGTGATATAGTTGCTAGTTACTACATCGAGGGCCATAGCTATTGCTGATATATAGGGTTGTAATAAAATTAAATTATTTTGATTTGATTTGTGATATAGCTGGTGCTGATGTAAGATTGTAATAATTTTTTTTTATTTCAATTTGTGGTATACTGTGATTTGTTTTAATTCATAAAATTCAAATTCGAATAAAAATAGTATCATGTTTTCAAAATTTGTATGAATATGAAAACCTTTTTAATTTAAAATCTTTAAATAATATATATGTTAATAATAATAATTAAAAATTGAATATATTACATAAAAATAAAATGTTATTCATGTATTAAAAATAATATTAAATGTAAAAAAATTCTATTTTCAACATTCTTTTATAAAATATTTGTGTTTATAAATAATTTCAAAAAAAAAAATTCAAATTAAACTGGAATCCAGCATAAATACTCAAATATATTTAGCACTAAACAAAATATCATATTTCAAGTTTCGGAAATTCTAGTGGATACAGATCTCGTTAGAATGATTCCAATGAAATATTTTTCGTTGAAACTTCTATCAGCATCAATTAAAATTTTTTGATAAATAATAGCATTTAAATATCAATTGAAATTGCAATTGAGATTCTATTAAAATACTTATTCATCAAACTTTTTCATTACATTAGAATTTCATTATTTTCTCGCATGAATCTCAGCAAGAATCTTATGATTTTTTCCCGATCGTATGGCCCAAACACACCTGACTTTTGAAAACCCAATATATTTAAAAAAAAAAAAAAGAAAATTAAATAGAAATATATAAAAAGGAGCTAGAGGCAAAATGATTTCAGCTTAATTATGTTTAACATGACTTAGACAAAGAGAAAATAAACTAATGTTGGCTCAACGATAAAATAATCCGCAATCAAATGTCCTTAACAAAATGATCCAACACTGGAAATGCAAAATTTAGTCACTCAAAATCCTCCTCATCTAACAAATCGAGCTTCTGTAGAAGACACAATTTTTTTTCTTTTTTTCTTTCTTTCTTTTCCTTTGAGCTCCTGTAGAAGACACATAGCATTGCTGTTCAATCGGCCTTTTTGTCGATCACCTTTCTGGCAAACGAGGGCAAGCAGAAAGCCGCGGAATGAATCTGGCAAACGAAACCAGACGAGCAAAAAATTAATTAATCGCACTTACTTCAGAAAAAAAAAGAAAAAAAAAACTAACAAACTCAGATGACTTGAAATAATAGTAAGTACCTCTGAGTTGTAAAACTTTAGTGGTCCCTTAGTCTTGACATGGCTATCATCGGAATCTATTGGGTTGACCGGATGCTTAAAGTCAACAGGACCCTCAGTCGAACACAGCATAAACCCGATAACACCACTGGGATGCGAAAAAACCGAAAAAACAAACAAACAAACAAACATGCCTTGGGTTGAATGACATTTTCTCTTAATTGTTCAAAAATCAAACAATGAAGATAAGAGATATCAAATCACTCGGTTCTCGTATTAACTAATAAGATAATACAGATTTTATTGTGTGAGGCAGTCAAACCGTTAGACGGGTCGATCAGTTTGAAAAAAAAAAATGCATACTTATCCAGTCAAATGCCATACTTTCTATTTATGTTGTTTTTTATACGTATGAGATTTTCTAATAAAAATATTGCAATAAATCACGCCAAAGTTTGATTTTCACATCTTAGTCCTGAAAATTTGCACCGCGCACCCAAAAAAAATAAAAGACTAATGAAAAACTTAATTAGACAAATTCCTTGCAATAAAAAGCATAATTTTACGAGTGCATGAAAAAAAAAATGAAATAAAAACGAGTACCTAGGGTAAGTGGGAACGGAGGTCCAAGCGTAATTAACCGAGCCTTTGAAAATTTGGCGGCAATTTGCGACAATATCTTCAATAATGTGCATGTGAAGCCATAAGCTCTCCGCTTGAGTACACACAACCCCACCTGGACGAAGAGCCTTTGCTACTGATTCAAAGAAAGGCTTTTCAAAGAGCTCTTGTGCTGGGCCTAATGTCAATGAAAAAACGGGTTTTGCGATTAAAAAACTAGAACGTTCTACAAATTTACGAGAGAGCTTTTTTTTTTTAGAAAGATAAACATATTACCAATTGGGTCCGAAGAATCCACAATAACTGCATCGTAAGTTCCTTCCGGAACAGACTTGAGAAATGCAACTCCTTGCAAAGTGAATGAGAAAAAATACGGTGAAGTGAGAAAAATATTTTGCAAATAGGTCCCTTGAGTTTCAGTTCAATGCGATTTAACTCCAAAAAATTTCTTATTGGTGAAAAATTTGGTCCCAAATGGATGTTTTGATGTTTCACCATGGACCGAGAAGTATAATCTGAGTCCGGGAGAAGACATGTAAAGATAATAAATGAAAAAAAAAAAAAAAGTAGAAATTGCCACAGTTTATGTTATACCATCTCCAATGTGCAATGTCACACGGGGATCATCATACCCCACTGCTACATGAGGGAAAAATTGTTTCGAAACCTGAAAAGAAATAATTTTTCCAGTTAATCGCCATAGGAATTATTTAACGATTATTTGAAAGTCTCCAAACTGATGAAAAATAAGTTTAGATTACAAAGATTGCAGACACTGTAATGAAAGGTTTTAATCCAAGCATGGAGCTCGACAGTATAAGAGAAGAAAATGATGACAAATAATGGAAGTAGAGAGAAAATAATTTAAATGAATAAATAAATAAAATCTAGTGCGAAAAAATTACTCACATCAACCACCATTTTATCGATCTCACATATATCGATTTTCTCGATCGATGAATGACGAGACACTTCGCGCAAGACACCACCATCTCCTCCTCCAATTACCAGAACCTGAAAGCACAAAATCTGCTTAGACCTTCACAAAAAAAATGAAGATTAAGAATAACTTGTATTTTCCTTTCTTTATCTTCTATGAAAGACGTTTTCACTTGTTTGTTAATAATGGCCTTAAAGATCCTAGAGCAGAAGTTGAAACCTTTTTTGGATTTGGAATGGAGCAAAGTGGAAGATGAGTAATCATTTCTTGATAAGCACATTCATCTCTCTCGGTGAGTTGAATCACACCATCCAAGACTAGAACTTTTCCATATGATGCTGACTGTAGCAAAATAAAAATTTATAAGCAAAATCCAAATATGCCGAAGGAAATTTTTTAACATAGCGTCTTCAGAGAAGCAAATACCTGAAAAACCAAAACATTCTGATAATCAGACTTCCCCTGAAATAATATTTTTTCCACCTTCAATGAGTGAGCTTCCCCTGCAAATATGTGAAACCAAGCAGTCGAAAAAAAAATCAGCACAATGCGCTGTAATATTTCTTTATCTTATTATTATGTTTGTTTTTTTTTTGTTTCAAGTCCAGTAGCTATCTGTTACTTCTCATTTGGAACTTGCATTATGCGCGGGAGAAAACCATTTGCGATGCTATAAAATGGTAATTGGAAGAGATTGGCACCTGATGTTACAAGAACTGCAACTATTTTTTAAATCAATATCATCACAATTATAAGGACCAGGGACAAAAATGTAAATTTTTCGAAAAGGGAAAAAGATTGCCCATTAACATGTTGCCGATTAACATCTTGTTGTTTGCTAAAAGCTATTACTTTTCCCCATTTTGATTTCGGCATGCGTTTCTTTTAAATGAAATTTTTACTCTAACCCAATCCCAAATCAAAACCTAAATAAAAAACCAATCTTGAAAGAAAAAAACAAGAAATCGAGGTCGAAACAACAATTTATTCCTCAAGCGCGCATAGCCCACGACACAAAATCACAGACACAGAATAGATCAGTACACAGTAACGCAGATGGAAATTTAAAAAATAAAATAAAATAAAATACCAGGCCACATTGGGCTAATCTCCGAGAACCACCCCGGGATAACAGATGAGATGCTCTCCGGCAGCTCCACCGCCGACGCGCCGCCGCTGTTGACGTCCATCTCCGCCTCGAACTCCTCGGATTTCTCTCCCCGGCCGACTGTAAATAAATGGGTCAGTGTAAAGCTGCTGCGCGAATAACAATACGTGGGAGAATCTGTGGAAAAAGGAGTGACGGAGAGCAAAAGGGGCAAATATTTCACACAGTGAGTGTGTGAGTGTTTGTGCAGATCTTTGGGGAGAGAATCAGATTTGATGAGATAAAGCAAAAGCACATTTGGATTGGTTTTGGCTGACCTAAAAAGGGGCAAAGAAAGATCCTATCTTTTTCTTCAAAAATTTAAATTATAAAGCAGTAGTAGTAATGGCGTGTACATCCCTCAACACAAAAATCATTGATTGAATAAATAAGTAACACTTTCTCTCATCCACATTATCTTCACATCATCTTTTTATTAAATCTCTCTCCATTTAAACACACCCACATTTCTACACATAGACATGGCCAAATGGCGGGCCAGTTCAAGGTCCGGCCCGGCCCGGCGGGCTGAAGGGTTGGGTTTTGTCGACCCTGAACCGGCACGCCCTAAACCCGTGCCGGGCCCGACCCAGAAAAATTAAAAAAAAAAAGAAAAAAAATAAGCAAATTCAAAAACAATTGATTTTTCTCGTGCCAAACCGGATCCGGCCCGGCCCGCCGGGTTGGTGTCGAAAAAAAGACGACCCTGAACCGGCCCGGTTGAAAATCCGAGTCGGGCCCGGACCCGTGGTCAACGGGTTTGACTGGGCCGAGCCTGTGCCGGGTCCGTGCCGGGTCGGCGGGCCGGTTGACCCGTGGTCATGTCTACCTACACATTCATTTAAATACATATATAGGACCACCATTATCAAATTACATTTAAATTATATGAAAAAAAATAAAAAGAATAAAAAAAGACCCACTAGAGACACTAAAAACAAAAATAAAAAATAAAAAAGGCTCAAAAGAGCCGTTCAATATATTGAACGGAGACAAGAGCCCCACCAATTAATGAATGGACGCAACGCATTGAACGGGGCAAGATCATTTAAATGACAAGAATGAACGCACCAATGCAGATGCTCTAAATAATATTTCCTCCTTTTTTTAATAAGTGTCGTTTTGAGAAGTTACACAGTAATTAAGAATAATTTTTTTACCAATAATAATCCTCATTAATGAGGATAGAGATGAACGTTTTGGGAAAAGATGAAGGGTGAATATGAAAAGACAAGGGTAATAAAGCATTATTTATTTGGTTAATTGTTGATAAAATCAAAATACCATTTAAAAAAAATATGAGGTAGTACTAATATAGGAGGGTTATTATTGACAAAAAAAAATCTTAATTACTGTGTAACTTCTCAAAACGACTAAAAATAGGAGGGAGTAGCATTTAATTGATTCAATATTTTTAGTCTAATGATAATAACAAGTCATATTATAATTGAATAATATGTTTTTAAGATGAAAAATTAAAATGTTTTATTTTGTATAAATTCACAAATAAATTTTTATACAAATAAATTTTTATGGATAGCCTTCAATCTCGCCGGACATATAAATGAGTTGGTAGTTTAATAAGTGTCAAGTGAAATTTTATAATATTATTCATCGATTTTCCGTATTTTATAATTTTATGTAGCAAATTCCAGTGTCTCGTACTAATATAAATTAATTTTTTTGTATAATATTTGTTAAACTTAAACTATAAATATATTACAAAAATATAATAACTTTTTAATCCATCATTACTAGAATTATATTTATATAATATCTATTTCATAAATACAACTCAACATGTATAACTAAGACTAAAACTACAATCTATTAATTAAATAAATTTATCAATTAATTCTTTTATATGATAAAATTAAAAATATTATTATAATATATAGCATACCAGTTTTACGGATGATGGACATCAATTAAAATAAAATGATAATATAACTTTTTGAAAAATGATTTAAAATAAAAATAAAAAAGTTATATATATATTTTTTTAAAAAAGTTAAGTGTAAAATTTTTATTAAATTTATAAATGCTGTTTCTACAACGAATGACAATGATTGTGGTATTATTGTTCTTATTACACCCAACTAGCGCATAACCCGTGCGATGCACGGGATGGTATATTTTCCTGAAATGTTTAACGTGTGAAATATTAAAAATAATATAATTTATATATATGTAATAAAAATAAATGGATTGCAAAGAAGGAAAAAAAATATAAATTATTGAACACTTTCTTTGTGAAATAAAATTTGTGAAGATTTGGTATATTTGATTATGAATAGAAAAGTATGAAATACTACCTGCGGACCGTTGAGATAGATGAGAAGATTTACTTAGAATATATAGAATAAATATTGAGATAATGATTTACCTTTTACTTAGTATAGACAAAATAAATATTGACATGATGTGGGAAAATTATGACGAATTATGACATAAATTCGTTTAGAAAATATTCAAAAATTAGATTTATTTTTTATTTTTTAAATCCTTACAGTGATTCGTACGCTCCTTTCCATACGCTTAGTTTATCAATTTTACACATACAAATAAAAATTAATGCAACTCGAAATATTATATAATAAATAAAATGAGATTTTTATCTAACATTTAGTATATTGCCGGAAAATTTTTTATAAATCTTATTCTCTTTTTATGCACATAGATATTAAAGAATGAGTAAAAAAAATATCTAAATATGTTTAAAAGTATCTAATATTAGATGTGTTAACAATGTTACAACCAAAAGACATTAAGAATACGCAGACTATTATATAACATATGTGAAAGTATTAAAATATTTTATGTTATTATCGAAAAATGTGAAATTACCTCAATTTTGTCTAGACTATTTTATAAGAAAAATATATATACTTAAAGTTAGCACACACATATATATATCCTTAAAATTTGCCCAACTAACATGTTTAAAAGTATATAAAATTTTATATATAAAACACGTTTAAAGTTTACATATTTTACAAAAATTAGACTGCTCTCAGTTTATATAAAATTTGTTGCTCTCATATTCGGATAACGTATTATGCATTTAATGAAAGCACCCTACGATACAAATTTATAAATATTAATTAAAATAATTTTCTAAATTATATAAAATTGAAATAACAAAGGTAAATATTACCTGTTCATCATGAAAATGCGTTACAGCTCTCCTGCTCGTGATGGGTTTCAATAATGCCTCTCTCCCGTTCGTGATGGGTTTCAATAATGCGGACCGCTCTCAGACGCAAAAAATGTTTGTTATAAATATTAATTAAAATAATTTTCTAAATTATATAAAATTGAAATAACAAAGGTAAATATTACCTTTTCATCCTGAAAATGCGTTATAACTCTCCTGTTCGTGATGGGTTTCAATAATGCGGACACAAAAAAAAAAAGGTTTGTTTCTTTGTTAACGTACCCCAGTCTGGAAGCATTATATATCAAGTGTACCCCAGCCTGCTCGTGATGGATTTCAATAATGCGGACTGCTCTCAGACGCAAAAAAAGGTTTGTTATAAATATTAATTAAAATAATTTTTTAAATTATATAAAATTGAAATAATAAAGGTAAATATTACCTGTTCATCATGAAAATGCGTTACAACTCTCCTGTTCGTGATGGTTTTCAATAATGCGGACTGCTCTCTCCCGTTCGTGATGGGTTTCAATAATGCGGACTGCTCTCAGACGCAAAAAAGGTTTGTTATAAATATTAATTAAAATAATTTTCTAAATTATATAAAATTGAAATAACAAAGGTAAATATTACCTGTTCATCATGAAAATGCGTTAGAGCTCCCTGTTCGTGATGGGTGTCAATAATGCGGACTGCTCTCAGACGCAAAAAAAGGTTGGGGTCTGGAAGCATTATATATCAAGTGTACCCCAGCCTGGAAGCATTATATTGTATATGCAATGAAAAATTATATATCAAGTGTACCCCAGCCTGGAAGGTATATGCGATGAAAAATTATTCTCTGTATTTTTTTTTCTCTGAACTCGTGAATGATGAGTTGTAATGGTGGTAGTGAATATCCTTTTATACAATTTTTTATTAACAAAAGTGATAAGATAATTATGGATTGTATTTGGATAGATATTAAATTCCATGATTTTTGGGATGCAACAACAAAATATGCAATCACATGTATATATCTTATCACGTTAAAGGTATATCCATCCCTAAAAAAAAGGAAATATATAATGTCTTAATTGATGGAATTTGTGTATTTTCGTAACAGATTTGCTTAATTAATGGGATCTGATACTTAATTAACGGGAATACCAATTACAAAATCTTATTCACGATTTTTTTTTCAAAATTTGATTGAGATTATATAAATAGAAAGTCAAAAGTCAACTCAATTTATTTTAAGTTTCTAAAAATGATTTTTACATCAACCTTTTTAGATATATATAGATGGCCCAAACTTTCTGGCTTCTGCACAACAACATACATATATTTACACCTAATTTGGAATTTCAAAACATATATGCAGAAATGATTGGTTTCGATTGGACCAACTGAGCGTGGGTTGCTCATTAGGGTTCTTGTGTGGGACCCACAGATTGATGTGTAATTTCAGTAAAATTGAGGACTTGGTGTTTGAAATTTTTGAATCATTACTCATTAGTTCATTACTATGCACTTATGCAGCATGGTAACAACTAACAACTAGACAAGCTTAACAAATTATGTAATAAAATACTTTTGAAAAAAATAGAAACATATAAATATCACGTATGCTTTTACTTTGAATGACATGTCTGAAAAAATTATTAATAATAATAATAATAGTTATTGTGGGTAGTGATAGACATTAAATTGATCTTTAAAAGTATGTTACCAATTTGTTGCAAATTGTGTTTTTCTCAAGTTTTGTGATACTATAATGTAAGAAATTAATATGTCAAACGTAATGATAATAATTGAAAGTTCTGGTTATGATAAGTTTTACACGATACTTTTAAAAATAACCTATAAAAATATAGAAGTATGGTTATAGAGAAAACGAGTCGGAAGACTGACAAGCATCTGATATGTGAGAAAATTTTTACAAAATGTTACTTTGTTCAGCATAATTAAATTGACCTCGAAACTTAACTTAAAATACTAGTTCAAGTAGTTCAATAAGCCCGTGCGCGATGTTTATCAATTGGGTCAAACCCAAATATATTGTTAGTTGGGCTTTAAGGAATTTAAGGTGTGGGTGAGAAGTTGTCTGTTTTGTGGTGATGGATTGGTGGAATTCTTGCTGTGTAAAATTTGTTTTAATGGTTTTTATTTATNATGTTTAGATTGGAGTTGTAAAGAAAAAAAAAAGGAACAAATAAGAAGAAAAGAGCAACGAGAGAGAGAGAGAGAAAAAAAGAATGAAGAATATATTGGCTTGAGAAGATGAATGAGTAATCTCTTGCTTTTGGTGAAAAAAAGTTCTCGAATCAATTTCACCTTTTCAATGATTCATGCTTGTACTTTAAAATACAATAATTTTGATAGATATTTTTTTTAAAAAATTTCTAGTGAAAGTATGTATATTTATGAAAATACTGAAATAATATGATGATCTAATGATTAGGTCAATCTAATATAAGACGATTCAGATGTAGGAGTCTGAATTATCTATACTTTCCTGAATTTTGTGTAAGATTTTTTATTACAACAATAATAATCCATTAAAATCCTACCTAGGTGGGGTCGGTTATATGAATCGCATGTTGTCATTGTGCTCGATCAAAACACATACTCTCATTTAAATTCAAATATTTTAAATTACTTTTTATTGTTTCTCTTCAAGCTTGTAGATGTTTTATTATGTCAAAAAAATCTTCACAATGCTAGAGACTAGACAATTAGAAGAGAAGGAAAAAGAGGACAAAGAAAAGAGACAAACTTGAACTAGAAAGAACTTATTCACACATAAATGCAGCTTATGTGACATTCTAATCTACAAGCTGTGAACCACGAATTGTTTATACATTTGTTTATGTTATCCTTTTTCTATCCACATCTTCAACAATCACAGATCCATCACAATCCATCACAATCCATTCATCTTGTGACTACTTAAGCCCACCTCAAGTTTTAATGTTACATATTTGTTGTTTAAATTGCAACCTTTAGCTTCAAACTTGTAAGCACACTTCACATGAACAAAAAATTCTTCTTGCTCAAATTCAATGTCATTTTATTAGTTTATTCTGCCACACAAATTTCACCATACTTAGAACATCAAGAAGAAGAAGAGAACTTATTCTTAAAGTTCAATAAGGAAGCCAAAACTCAGGTAACTTAATGTACATTTGACACTTAATAAATATATACATATACTCGATCGGTCGATTTTGCTAATTACATATCTACTAGTAAATTTCGATTATGTCGATTGGAAAATGAAAAAATGAAAAAGTTATACATAGCCAAGTATCATAACATACAAATCATGGTCTCAAATGCAATAAATTTTCTTTGCAATATTAATTTTGTAGTGATATTTGGAATTTTTTAATTGAAAGCAGGGGAATTAAGCTCATTGAGAGATTGATATGGCTGGAAAATTCAAGAAATGCATGGCGTTGTGCTGCACCCGAGCGCTTGTGGTAATTTATATATATTTTGTCGATCGATTATTGCTTCTTATATGCTCTTATTTCTACATAATATATGCCCTTAATTTACCAATTTTTCTTATTTCTAGCTATATTCCATCCAAGCTAGTTGTATTTTTTAATTATTATTGTTATTAGAGAAAATGGTAATTTTTTTAATGAACTTTGCATTCATGCAGACAGAGGAAATAGGAAAGGACACATGTGAGGAAGCCATTGCAGGCCTGAATAAGCTTCTTAGGTAAAATTTACCATAAATTATGTAATAATAATAATGAGTCAAAATTGCTCCTAATGTCACGACCTTTTTAGAAATAGCAATATAAACACGATATTTTATTTTTTTCAAATTATATCACAATCTTCAATTTGTTGCAAATTGGTGCACGCGTTCTGAAAACTAGTCATAAAAAAAGTAATGCGACCGAAGAACAAACTAAAGATTGTGGTTTAATTTGCATTGGTTCTACAAATTGGTGCACCGATTTGCAGTAAATTAAATATTGTGATATAATTTACAAACGTGAAAATGTCTTGATTAAATTGTAATTTAAAAAAAGTCGTGATATTAAGGACAATTTTGTCTGATAATAATACCTCATTTTATTTTATCCTTTCTCCTGATTGGTGTTTTCTTTTTTTTTTGTCCTTTATTTTTTGTAATAAAGTGAGAAAACCGAGCTAAAGCCGGTGGCTGCCGCCAAGCTGAGGCAGCTGACTGCTGAGCTGGCGGGCCCACGTGGAATTCCACTGACTACTGACCCGGTTGAAAGGATCCGAACCGGGTTCGCCCACTTCAAGAAAGAGAAATACGAGTGAGCTTACTTGTGGACTATTCAAACTAATATAGATAACAATTAACAAAAATATAATCACTTAGCAAATTCTAATTAAGCACATTAATACAAACATGAGAATCGTAATGCCTGAAAATTATTTATTTAGTTTTTTTTTAAACAAAATTTAATATGGGATTGCATATGATTTTTCCAAGTATAGGAAGGATCCTGCTCTGTATGCAAAGCTTGCCAAAGGCCAATCCCCTGAGGTATTAGGACTATAATATATATTTGTGTGCACATATTCTTATATATGTGAATATATCATTTTTTGTATGTTGTTATTTAAATTTTAGAATATAACATATTCAGTTTGAAAATATGCACATATATGTTGAAAAAATATGACTACTAACTGTTAAATCTGTCTGACGTACAATTTGCCTTATCGATTTGTTTGTGT